GCTGCTCCCAGTAGATTCCACCATGGAGTTGATTACCAGTCTCATCATGGGGAACACTACATCCAGCTGCCCAGCCACTCAACCAGGCCTAGCCAAGCTGACATACAAACATAACCATCACAACATCCCACTGCCTTCTCGTTTGCCTGGTTTCTGCTGATAAATCAGAGCTTATTCTTACTGGTTGCCCTTTGTAAGTAACTTTTTGTTTTTCCTGTGCTGCTTTCAGATTCTGTCTGTCTTTGGTTTTGATGAGTTTGATGATGATATGTCTTGGTGATTTTCTTTTGGGATCTATCCTATTTGGGGTTCTTCGGACCTCCTGAATGTATATATTCTCATCTTTCATCACATTAGGGAAGTTCTCTTCCAACAAATCTTGGACAATTTTCTCAGTGGTTTTATTTTTCTCTTCCTGTTCTTCCAATGACACGTAAGTTATTCCTTGTGATGGCATCCCACATGAACCTTAGGCTTTCTTCATTTTGTTTTGATCTTTTTTCTGATTGATGCCTTTCCAAAGAAGTATTCAGGTATTTGTCTTCAATCCTATTAATTCTGTCTTCCATTGCATCAGTTCTACTCCTTTGCCCTTTCAATGTCTTATCTATTTCTGACAATTTAGTATTAATCTTCTGGATTTCTATCTGTAGATTTAGAATCATTTCTAATTTTTCATTTATTTTGTAATTTCGTTCTTGTATTTTCATCCAAAATTCTTCCAGGGATTTGTCTGTTTTCCTTGATCTGTCTCTCAATCCTTTGAAGATACCTAAATATAATGCTTTTGAATTCCTTATCAGAGAGTTCTAATGCTGTTTCTTCCTCAGGGATGTGTTGGGTCTTATCCTGCTCCCTTCTTTCTACCATTTTATCTTGCTTCTTTGTGTGGACTGTGATGGTCTATTGTCTCCGAGACATTGTGATGTTGTTGTATTTAGATCTCTGTTAACTGTTTGTGAAGAACAGCTAAGGGTGAGTCAGGCTCTTCCTGGTGGTTGTTTATCGTAGGCCTGTTGGTGGAGGAGGTGGTGACTCTCACTAAGTGAAGCTGCAGGAGGTGTGGGTGTAGTTGTGTTGTATGGGGACTGTTGCTGTCTCCCACTCTCCCACTCAGTTGGACAAAAATAACAATTGAATAACTATAAAAAAAATAAAAGCAAATGGACAAAAAACACACCATGTAATCACACAGGAACAGTAACCAAGAAAGAGAAAAAGGGAGGGAAAAAAAAAAAACAAAACCCAATAACACCACAATATCTTGGGAGAGGGCAATAAAAGAAAAAAGTAGAGAAGGAGAATAATGAAGAAAAAAATGGGAAAAACACAAAAAGAAAAACAAGGAATAGGGTTACCCATAAGAAAGAAAAAAAAAAAAAAATTGGAACAGGGCAAAGAAAAAAAGCTGAAAACTAGAACCTGGGAAGGGAAGAATAAAGAATGATAATTAAAAGGACAAAAGTATTAATAATAGTACTAGTTTTAAATCAGACAAAAACAAACTAAAAAAAGAAACAGGAAAAAAAGAAAAACAATCTGGACTGGGTGGAGCAGGGCACCAGGCTACCTCCTAACACACAGACTGGGGTGGAATTCCTGCCAGCATAGAAGATGGGTGGGAGTGTGGGATGGCCGCACCTCCATTCACCAAGAGGGTGTGAGATATAAGAGTAACAAGGGGAATGTCACACCTTTTCAGTAGTCTGTGTGTCTGGGATGTCTTTAAGGTTCCCAGCAAGCGGAGACTCTTTTTAAGTCCCTGAATCTGGGAGAATGCTGTCACTTTAAATATCCAAAATGGTCAAGCTGGTTGTAAACATTCAAAATGGCTGTGTCCTCCAGACAGGCAAAAGTCCACAGCTCAACCCGCCTTCCTCTTTGCTGCTTTTTATTCCCCAGTCACCAGAGCAGTCCTCCATGCAGTCCCTGGCTAGCAGGGCTGATTTTTAGGTTAATTCTTAGGTCCTAGGAGCTCTGGTAGCGTAGTGGCTAAAGCACTTCACTGCTAACCAGAAGGCTGGCGGTTCAAACCCACCAGCCACTCCTCGGAAGGAAGGTTGGGCAATCCTACTTCCGTAGTGATACTGCCTTGGAAACCCAAGGAGGGGTCGCTATGAGTCAGGGCTGACTCGACGGCACATAACAACAACAACAACAACAGCACCACTCAGCAATATCCAAGCTGTCTGTGCCGTCAGGATCGCTGCCAGACTGCCGCTCCGTATGTCTCCTTTTTTGGTGTTTTCATGTAAATTCTTATGCTAGTTGGAGTTTAGTCCACTTCTACATCCATCTCTTCAAAGCTCAGGGGTCCAGGATTATCTTCTGTATCTGTGTTAATTGGTTCCCCTTTTCTTTGTTGAAGAGAGTCTGTGCAGTTTTTCTGCTTATTCTGCCATCTTACCCATATCCCTCCTTTACTTTTGAAATTTAAAACTTACCTTCAATATACCCAACCCTCAGTCAATACAAAAGTATCAGTACATGTGCAATGACTTAACAAAGACAGTGGTCACAATTAATGAAACCTGGAATTTGTAACTATTATTTCAATGATGTGTATCACAAAGGGTGATAAAAAATTCAATGAACATTTCAGTTACAACTGACATAAAAAAAGTTTAAACCAGGGATTGGCAAACTATTTCAAAAGCTTGTTTTTGTACAGTCTGAACTAAGAATGTTTTTCATATTTTTACACATTTGTTAGAAATAAAAATTACACACAATGTCAACTGTGTAAACTATAGGAACATCTAACAAAATACACCTGGAAGAAGACACAAGGTATTTTAAAAGAATGTATGTAATTATAAAACAGTGCATATCAATAGAACAAGCAACCAACATTTTATTCCCCCTTCAGGTTAACTTAAAGTGGGGGCAAATTGTTTTTTCTCAGAAGAGCTGAGGATTAAAACATAGAAATACAACTTAATAAGCAGCTAAATATATTAGACAATTAGTCAGTGAAATGAGAAGTGAAAAAGAATGAACATAGTTTACATTTGTAATAAAGTGATCACTGAGTAAACGCCAAGATAGAATCAAAGAATTTTAAAGCAGGATGGGCATTAAGAAACATCTAGTCCAGCACTCATATTTCAGATATGAGAAAACTGAGGCCCAGACCATGGATTAAGTGATTGGCCCAAGGTCACACAGCTCATTATCTTAAACTGGACACTGTAACCTAGGTTTATTGTGAGGATGAAAGTGATATGTCAATATTATAATAAATATTTTTCCATTTTAACATATATGAATGTTGGAAAAACAGGACACCTCTCACACATGTACAGAAATAAATCTTTTTATTTTGTAACATTCCTTTTCTTTTTTTAAAGATGCATACAGTACTTGTAGTTCAAGAATTCTGAGAAAAGCTATAGAAGACCTGGCACTATTTTTGAGAATTACACAAATGGGCAACAAAGTAACACCTTTAAAAATGCTGTGACATATAGAAATAAAATTTAGTGTTGTGTTAGCACACAAAAATAGGGAAGTTACATTCAACACGTTTTCCTAAACGTGCATTTAAAATGTTTAAAAGTTTCCTAAAACTTTGGTCATCATGCTTTATTATAATTTGCTAAATTTTAGAATTATATAGATGATTAAAGCCAAAAGGTAAGCAAATATATCACATTAACACAGCAGCAAAAGCAAGCTAATACTGCACAATCATACTAGCAGACTGATTTCAGAAATACATGTTTTCCACAAATAGCACACAAAACTTAAAAGTTTGTGAAAACATAGTTCAATGACTTTTCTTCCATTTCATAAAGTAAGGCTGAGTAATGAGACATAGCAGAACATGATTACATAACAAAAAGAATATTTTTAATTACAAATCTAATTGTACATATAGGGTAACAATTTGCAGTTTCTATAGAATAGTGCAAATGAGCAGGATTTTTCCCAAAAATATTAAAATTGGGTTAATTCCACGTGACCTCATATTTCATGAATATTTGGTTATATTAATTATTATTATTATTATTTTTTTGTGATAAGTGCAAGTGGTAGGACTGATATAGGACAGATGTATACTCATAGGCTAAAAATAAAAACAGCTATTTACTTAATTTACTGGATGAGAAGTACAGGCACTGAAAATGTAACTTTAAAAAAGTTTCATTTGTCATCACGTAAACAGTTTTGTTCATCATACCATATTTCAGAGTAAGATTCAAAATTCATTTTAAATTGTCATATCAAGCAATTCTTCTAAACTCTTTTTGATATGTGGTGGCTGAGATGCAGCCTGATTTAACAAATTCTGACCCATCTGTGCAAAAAGTGCTTTTGATAATTTAGCCGTCGCTGTTCGTATATTTCCTCCAGCTCCAGGTAGAGAACCACTATTTGTCATGTTCCCTAAGAGATGCCACAAAACCACCAACACTTTCTGTTCTGTGGCATGAGGTTTCCTTTGATAAAGTTCCATAACAATACCTGAAACATAAAAAAATAGAAAATAGTTTGTCTTTTTAAAATATAAGTTCTGATTATTAAAAATCACCTAAAGTTGACCTAAAGAGCCCTGGTGGTGTAGTGGTTAAAGCACTCAGATGCCAACTGACCGGTCGGTGGTCCAAACCCACCAGCAGCTCTGTGGGAGAAAAGACTTGGCAACGTGCTCCTGAAGAGACTACAGCATAGGAAACCCTATGGAGCAGTTCCACTCCATCCTATAGGGCTGAATACTGACCTGGTGGCACACAACAACAAAATTTACCAAGCTTCTTCTCTATGCCATCTGTCCTAAAATGTTAGGCATCTTAAAGTAAAGAAAAGAAGTAAGAGGTCAGAAACTTGCTGCTGAGGATCTCAATCTTCCAGTGGGAGAATTCCATATATAACGATTAACTTAAGAAAAAGTTGTAAGGAGAGAAATCAAGCTCAAATTCAACTTAATGTTTTCCAAATGTATTAAATAAAAATTTATACATTTTAAATACATGAACCTGTGGCATAGTGACTAAGGCATCTGACTGCTAACCAGAAAGGTGGTGATTCAAACCTACCAGTCACTCCTTGGAAGGAAGACTGGCAATCTACTTCTGTAGAGATACTGCCTTGGAAACCCAAGAAGGGGTCGCCGAGTTGGAACCGACTTGATGGCAGTGAGTTTGGTTTTTTTGGTTGCAAAACATATATTTTGAGACAGCAGTTTTCTATGAACACCAATATTTGATTTTAATGTTTCTCTATTTTTTCCTGTATTATTTCTACTAATAGAAAGACTGAACACTTACTAAATAAAGCATATATATTTTTGTAAATTGTGATTGGGTGAAAGTTTGCAGAGCAAATTCATTTTCCAAGCAGCTGATACACATTTTGTTTCACGACATTGGTTGCAATCCCCATAACTAACAGCTCTCTTCCCACTTCCTCCTTAGTTACCTTTTTCCTGTGTCCTTTTTTCCTATGCATTCTTGCCCTATGAATTACCTCCCTGTGCAAATACTGCCCTTCTGGTCTCCATGGTTGACTGTTCTAAGGAGTGCACCTACCTAGTACAAATGTTCACCTTATATGCCTGTCTACTATTTGGCTGGAAGCCAAAGAAATGAGCTAAATTCCAGGCCTGAAGGGTGACTTGGGGCCATAGTCTTGGGGATTTCACCAGTCTCTATCAGACCAGTAAGCCTGGTCTTTTTTTCATGATTTTGAGTTTTGTTCCACATTTTTTTCCCCACTCTATATCCAGGATCTCTTGGACTGATCCCTTTCTGAGTAGTTGACAGCTGTAGCCAGGCACTATTTTAGCTTCATAGTCACAAAACCTGAGGTTCACATTGTCTACTGGTCCCTTGGACTAACTGCTTCCATCTGTCTTTGTTTTTTTCATTCTTCCTTGCTCCAGACAAGGAGAGACCAACTGTTGCATCTAGATGGCTGCTTGCAAACTTTTAAGACCCCAGTTGCTACTCACCAAAGTAGGATGTAGAACAATGTTTTTCTGTAGTACGTTATGCCAACTGAGCTTGATGTCCCCCATGACCATGGTCCTAAGCTCACAAGTCCAACAACTTGAAAAGTATATATTTTTTTGAAGAAAATGTTTGAGGTAAAAGTCTCAAAAGGTTCTCTTGTGGATCATTATACTACTTATGTCTACTTCGTAAGTAATGAATTAGTAGCTAATGTAAAATAAGATTCAAATGACAGCAATTTATTGTTAAGTTAAAATTTCTTTAGAAATTACAATTAAAAACATTTACCAGCAAGGTTTTCAGTCATATCCTGTTTTGCTTTTCCACTTAAAAATTGAGCTTTTGTGCAAAAAGGCTGTAGAAGTAAGTAATTATCTAAAGAAAAAAGATAATACAGAGACATGTTTAAAGAGTTATAAGAGATCTTAGTTATTTTCAATTACATAGCACTAAAAGGAAAAATTTTTCATCTTTTGAAAACAAATATATTAAAAACAAAAAAACTATAGTTATTCATTGTTGAAGTAAAAGTACTATTCTTACAGTAAATAAGAAATAAAAATACCTCACAGAGTGTTAAATATTATAGGAGCGATCATATTGTATCAAAAAAACAGAAAAAGAAGTTTTTTTGGACAACTTTCAGCTTTACTGATTTTTTGAACTTTTAATTGTGAAATAATTAGATTTGCAGGAAGGTGGGAAGATAGTACACAAAGGTCCCGTGTACTCATTTCCCAGTTTCCTCCTAGGGTTACATCTTACATAATTATAGTACAATATTGAAACCAGGAATTTGACATGGGTATAATATGTGTGCACAGTTCTATGTTATTTTTATCACATAAATGTGTACATAACGTACAGATTTGGGTAGCCAGCACTGTCATCAAGAAATAGAACTATTCCATCATGGCAAATATTTCCCTTGTGCTACCCCTATCACTTCCCCACCATCCCTAACTCCTGACAACCACTAATCTGTTTCCTGTCTCTATAATTTTGTCATTTTGAAAATGGAATCCTACAGTATGTGACCATTTGAGATTACCTGTTTTCATTCAGAATAATGCCCTTGGGGTCCATTTAAATTGTTTTGTGCACCAATAGTCTTTTTTTTTTTTTTTTTTAATTGCTAGATAGTATTCTCTGTTAAGGATGTACTAGTTTGTTTAACAATTCAACTGCAGAATATAGCTGGGTTGTTATCAGTTCTTGACTGTGTTCAAAAGCTGGTATGAACAACTGCGTGGATATAAGTAACCAATATTCTGGGATAAATGCCTAGGAAATACAACTGATAGACTGTATAGTACGTGTTAAGTTTAGTTTAAAAAACTGCCAAACTATTTTCTAGAGTATTGTATCATTTCACATTCTTACCAACAATGTAGGAGAGATCCAGTTTTTCTGTGTCTTTTTCAGAGTTTGGAATTGTCACTATTTTTTTTATTTAAAACTAAAAAACAAAATTCACTGCCGTTGAGTTGACGCCAACTCATAGAGACCCCTCCTTGGGTTTCCAAGGCTGTATCTGTACTGAAGTAGATTGCCCAGTCTTCCTTCCAAGGAATGGCTGAGGAGTTTGAACCGCCAGCCTTCTGGTTAGCAGTCAAATGCCTTAGGCACTATGCCACCAGAGCTCCTATTTTTTATTTGAGATCTTCTAATAGGCATGTGTCAGAAATGCCTATTAGAAGAGCTTAAATTAAAAAAAAAAAAAAAAAAGTAGTGACAATCTCAAACTCTGAAAAAGACACAGAAAAATTGGATCTCTCCTATATTGTTGGTAAAAATGTGAAATGGCACAGTTACTCTGGAAAATAGTTTGGCAGTTTTTTAAACTAAATTTAACACTTACTATACAGTCTATCAATTGTATTCCTAGGAGTGTAAAGAGCTCTGGTGGTGCAGTTCCTCAGGGATTTGACTGCTAATCAGAAGGGTGGCAGTTCAAACCCACCAGCCAATCCTCAGAAGGAAGTCTGGACAATCTACTTCCGTAGTGATACTGCCTCAGAAACACGGGGGGGTGGGGGGGGTCGCTATGAGTCAGAATAGACTCAATGGCAGTAAGTTAATAGGCATGTAAAGGAGCTCTGGAGGCACAGTGGTTAAAGCATTTATCTGCTAACCAAAAGGTCAGCAGTTCAAATTCACCAGCCACTCCAGGGGAGATGAGGCAATCTGCTTCTATGAAGACTTATCATCTTGGAAACCCTATGGCACAGTTCTACTCTGCCCTGAAAGAGTTGCTATGAGTCGGAATTGACTCAATGGCAGTGAGTCTGGTTTTGGTTTAATAAGTGTAATAAGTATGGTCTTAATTTGCATTTCTTTAATGGCTAGTAATAAATATCTTTTTATATGTATTCTGGTTCTCTAGTACTGCTCTGATAGGAATATACCACAAATGGGATGGCCTTAACAAACAGGAGTTCATTCTTACAATTTGGAGGTTTTAAGTCCAAGTTCAAAGTGCCAGGCTCTAGGGGCTGGGTGAAAGCCCCTCAGCCTTGGGGCCCAGCTCTGCCTCCTGCTCCCGGCCCACTGGAGCTGGAGGTGTTTTTTTTCACTTCGACAGCTGCTGGCTGCTGAGGCTGAGAAGCCCCAAGGTTGACAAGTAAAAAGGCACAGTCCAGATGCTAACCAAACCACACGGCAGGCCATTAACCATTTTAAGTCCCAAGGTCAGCAGAGCATAGCAGGCTGCTGAGCAACAAAACGGCTCCATGCAGGGTCCAAGTGTGCCATAGGCTAGAGACCATTCCCAAGGCTTCTCCTTATATACATCCCAAAGGCTTCTATTCGGTTGCTGGTGGTAGATCCCACCATGGAGTTGATCGGCAGTCTCATCATGGGGAATAACTACCACCAGCTGCCCAGCCCCTCAACCAGGCCCAGCCAAGTTGACATACAAACTGAACTATACCACAGTATGTTTATCTGCCATTTTTATATCCTCTTGGGTGAAAGGTTTCCTTGTCTTTTGCCCATTTCTAATTGAGCTTTTGTTCTTTTAATACTGAGTTTTGAGAGTTCTTTACATGTTTCAAGGAGCTCTGGTGGTGCTGTGGTTAAAGCACTGGGCTGCTAACCAAAAGGTAGGTGGTTCAAACCTACCAGCTGCTCCAGGGAAGAAGGTGAGGCAATCTACTTTGGTAAAGATTTACACCCTTGGAAACCCAATGGGGGTTGCTATGAGTCGGAATTGACTCGATGGCAGTGGGTTTGATTTTGTTTTGGTTTTATATATTCTAGATATGAGTCCATTGGGCAGATGTGTGATTTCCAAATATTTTCTCCCAGTCTATATAGCTTGTCTTCATGCTCTTAATTGAGTCTTTTGAAGAGCAAACATTTTCATTTTGATCAAATTCAACTTACTGATTTTCTTATTTAGATTATGCTTTTGGTGTTACAGCTAACAACTCTTTACCAAACCCTAAAGTCCCAGAGGTTTTCTCCTATGTTATTTTGTAAAAGTTTTACAGTTAAGTTTTACATTTAAATCTATGATCTATTTTGAGTTAATTTTGTGTAAGATGTGAGGTTGAGGCTGTGATACAGAAAAAGAATTAAAAAGGGCAAGATAAGGGAAGAGAAAGTCAATTTAAGGAAATGATACTTAATGATTAAAAATAATTTAAAATATTGAGAAAATGAAAAAAGTATGACAATATTAAATGATAAAAATCAAACAGGATTTCAGCATTATTAAAAATATCTAGCATCAGAAAGAAAAAATGCAAAACCAAAAATAGTTATATTAGATTGGAAGAATAGTTGGTGACTGAAATTTTTTCTTTTATATTGATATTTTACCTTTAAAATATTTAATAAGATTTCTTACCTACATGCTGACTTAGTGCCTGAACAACGTTTGTGGCAGCAGCATAGATCCCTGGATTCTTGGAATTCAAGTTGTTATCTACTATTGCTGGAATCAGTATGTTGATTACAGGAGATAAGTTGTCTCCAAGCAAAGGAATCATTTTGTGCATTGTTTCTAGAGCCACCAGATTTACTTTACTATTAGAATCATGAAGTCGAGATTTAAAAGCATCAAATATCTGAAAGTAAATTGGTAAGTTATTTAAAGAGAAATGATGTTTACAGTTGTTATATTTAAATTACACTTTGACATTTCATAGTATTCCTCCTAGTCCACTCTGTTTAAAAAGACACAGACTCATCTTATTTAACCTAAGTTAAATAATAGTAAATTTATAAAAACTAGATGCTGAATTTATGTGTTTGAATCTTTGTGCTAAAAAGAGAATGTGTCATCATTACTCCCAAAGACTTTAAACCTTAATTTCTCAATTAAGGTTGAGAAATTTGGCTCAGGAGGCAGATGACTCACTCTAAATATGATAAAAGGTGTTTTCTGGAAGCTACAGGTTAGCTTAGCTAACTCTAAGAACTTAAGGAAGATTTCTATTTTCATCTCTATTCATAGCAGAGGTAGAAATGTAAGTTTCACTATAGAGATCTGACCTCGTTTCATATTAGTCTGTTATGAGACTACTAGAGGCAATTTCAGAGTTAAATTTTATTACTGCCTCTTAACCTGATTGATAACTTTAATAACTATTCCTTCTTCTTCAGAATCCTTAATTTTCATAAACTCAAGATAAGGGTGTCCTCAAGGAGCTCTGATGGTGCAGTGGTTAAAGCATTTGGTTGTTAACGCATCAGCCACTCTGCGGAAGAATGATAAAGCAGTCTACTTCCATAAAAATGTACAGTCTTGAAAACCCTATGGGGCAGTTTTACTGTTTTATAGGGACGCAAGGGAGCGTAGTACCTGAGGCATCTGACTGCTAACCAGAAGGCTGGTGGTTCAAACCCACCAGCCACTCCTTGGAAGGAAGGTTGGGCAATCTACTTGCGTAGAGATACTGCCTTGGAAACCCAAGGAGAGGTCGCTATGAGTTGGGATCAACGCTACGGCAGTGAGTTTGTTTTGGTAAAAGATTGCAATGAGTCGGAATTGGAATTGACTTGATGGCAGTGGGTTTGGGTTGGGCAGTCCCCAGGTTATAAACAAGAGATCCATTCTTTTTTTTTTTTTTT